AAAAAAGACCCACCCGAGGGCGACGTCAGGCGCGTCGGGGTCGGGCAAACCGATGGGGCCGCATTCTGGATATCCTCGAGGGGGCGCGTCAAGGCGGAGAAGCGGCATCGGGAATAGCAGGGCCCTAGCAAATAAAGGATAATAAAAAAAATAAGGAAAGTTGTGAGTATTCTCAAGGGGAGAAAAAAAAACTAAATACAACGATACATGGGGTCTGAAATGCGATAGGGAAATCCAATAAGAGCTAAAAAAAAAAGATGCATTCCTTGGTAAATCACCATTTTTATCAAATGGGCTCATACACCTTCCCTTTCTTGTTCTTCTGTTTTTTTTTCGTTGAATGCTCTCCTTTTTCGGCCTTTCTATTAGAATGCGGATATCTCTAAACCAATGTTGCGAGGGAGAAGAGGTAATATTAAGTACTGTAATGGGAGTAAGATGAAGAAGAAGTGATGCTCATCCACGTGCTTGAATTATGAAGCAAACGTACATTGAAAGATAAGATCTCTGAAGAAAATAATTCTATGGTAGGAAAATACAGCTCAAGTAAAAAGGAAAAATTATAGAAGAAATGCAGCAAGCTTGCTTCTTTTTTGGTAAAAGTTTTATGCTAACTTTAACTAAAAAAGGCTACGTTATGCGTTTATATTCATATTTACAACATATATCTATATATACCTGCTCATATATAGATATATATATATATATATATATATATATTACGTTTCTTTTTCGAATGATTATAATGACCAATGGTGAAAAAAAAGGTGATCGTCAGATTTTTTTGAAAAGACGTACAGTCTAATGAGAATAACAAAGTGCTTTCTTTTTTTCTTAGGTTATTTGTTTAATATAAATCATATCACTATGAATTTAATATTCAATCCCATTTTTTCCCAAAATAAAAATAAAAATGAGTTCATTCCATTCTTTTTCTTTCTTTTTTTCTTACAGTGGGTGAAAAGTTCAAAACTATTTCTCAATTAAAGTAACTAGTCGTATTGGAGTTGTCTCACAAGGCGCTGTATTCTATCAAATAAAATTATATTAGCAATCATACTAAAATGGACCTATTTCTTTTCTTATACCATATTGGGTTTTTCTTGATTCATGGGAGTCTTTATCTTCTACATGTCGTCACGTTACTCCTTTACCGCACGTTTGGGTGGTGGCTGTTCCGTCTAGCCGCTTGCCTTCTAGGTACATCTGCAGAAGGGGATCACAATGTTAACTTCCTCCTAACGCATTCATTCAGTGAAAGGTCTATCTTTGCCCTGACGAGCCGGGAGAATCGGTGGGTGATGGATTGGTTCGGGCTAAGCGAGATGGAATCCGGTATAACCCCTATCGAATCATCCCGCACTGTTAAAGAAATCGATGCCAAAAGCAAAATCAAACTCGATCCCGATTTAGTCGACATGTACATCCCGAATTATACGGTGGCTCCTTATAATGGGCATCTGCACACCATCATGGGGTCCTGTACTCCTTTTCCGTTCATAAAAATGAGCCGAGAGGTGGTGAAGTCGTATGACCTGAACCGACTCTGCCTGGATTTTTTCTATCCCACGCGGAAGGCCGTCGAAAACGGAATTTACAGCACCGACAATACGGATTTAGGACGGGAAACGTTAGATCCGAGGCTACCCGCGCCGCGGGCTTTTATTCTGATGCTTCCCGGGATCACCGGGAGCTCTCAGGATATTTACATGCGCCGTATGATTGCGGTTTTTCTCAAACAAAATTTTTGCTGTTGTGTGCTCAACATTCGCGGGATGAAGGACACCCCATTAGAAGTTCCGCAAATCTACAGTGGGATTTTCACGGCGGATATTCGATTTACCCTCATGAAATACCTCCGCGGCGAGCAAATTCAATCTCGTCTGGGGAGCCCAAGGCGAGTTCCGATTTTCGGGATAGGGTTTTCGCTCGGCGGGGCCATCCTCTCCAACTACGTGGGGGAGTGCGGAAAGAAAAGCAAGTCCAGTGGGTTGGACGCCGTGATTAGTATCTGCGCACCGCATGATTTTATCACCTCGTCGGTCGCGATGGGGAAATTATTTGCGCGGTGGACGTATAATCGCATCATCACCGAGCGTCTGGTGTCCTACTGCAAGCGGCATGCAAGAGTGGTCGAAAACTGCTATGGGATCGACCACGAAAAGCTTTTTAAAGGCTCCCGCCCTCTTCTCCGGAGTTTGCGGGATTTAAAGAGTTTTGACGAGCACATCACGGCCCCACATTTTGGGTTTAGCAGTGCGATGGAATACTATACGGCGGCGAATAATTTTCCGCGGCTGCGGTGCTCGCAAACCCCGCAGATGTGCGTAATCACCGCGGACGATCCGATCTGTGGGGCGCCGAAGTTGTGGACGGAATGGGCGAGCCTCGTTCGTGCGCAGACAACGGGGTTGGTTTATTTGGAAATGCCCTCTGGTGGGCATCTCGGCTTTATCGGGAGTCCTTTTCAGGTTTTTCGTGAGCGGGCTAATCCTGTGGAATCGCTTCTGGCGAGGTCGGTTTGTTGTTTTGTGGATCACTACGAAAAGATGCAGATGTCTGTGAAGTCTGAGGCGGGCGTTTGTAATGGAGATATGAAAGAAGAGGGCCATACCTAAGGTCCATATGGATGATTCCCCCTCCCCGGACGACCTCTAGTAGGACAACAATATCAACAGAAAGGCAGAATCATTAGGAGCAGTAGATGATTGCTGTCTCGAATCACTTGTAAAGACAACTAAAATGTTTGTTCTATCATTAATAGTAAGATAACACACAATACGAAAGTGTTATGCGTGAAGATAACAACCGATAAAAAAGATCTACGGGAGGGATGCACCTTCGTAATGAGTAGATGGATACTCCTTAAAAGTGAAATCTTATTCTGAAAAATAATGTATTTCAGAGGCTGACGACAGACACGAAAATTAATATACATAGGAAATTGTTTTTTTTTAAAGTTATATTTTTGATCTGAAACAAATAGATTCTATTGCTATATTACACATATAATATTCATATCTAATTTTTTTTTGAATTGATAACAAAATTTGAAACTGCCAAAGGAAACATTATATATGGGCGAGGGAAGTATTTTTAAGCTCATTTATTTTACAATACATGAAATGTGGATATTTCGGACGACAAAAAACCCAAACAACTCTATATTTCACTCTGTAATACATAGATTCAAACACACCATTGTATATATATATTGTAGTAGTTGTATTTTCTCTCTGCTAATAGTTTTGTAATTATTTACTTAGAGAAAGTTTTATGGAAACAACTTTTTCGCCCTTCTACTTCGGTAATAAAATTATTAAGAGTATGAAGTAGTCGAGAGAAATATATTTGAACTAAAATTTCCAGTAGTCTGGTGAATGTAGATCGCTGTATAATGTCCAGTTTTTTTTTTTGCTTGATTATTTCCTTTAGATGGAAGAAGCGAATGAAGCTGTTCTCAAGATGCAATTCTGAATAAAAAAAATAGAATCTACGTCGCAGAAGTGAGGCAGATGTAGAAAGAGTGGGGATAGGTGGAGTATGTCTACAAAAAAGAGGTGTGTTATTATATCTATGAAAATATATTTCTTAACGTTTAATTTTTATTATTATGGGTTTAAATTGGTTTCATTATTCCATACGTTGCTTTTCAATAGAATTTATTGCGGTACTGGTGAGGCGTACAGTGTATCGATGCATCGTCTCGGAGCGCTTTGCTGACTACCATCTGAACGAGTTTGCAGCCCCGTAAAGGCTATTTTTCGTATATATTCATCTTTCTTTCTCTATTTTTCCTACATTTTGTGCCTTGAACTAAAGCAGTACTACAAAGGGAACCTCTTTTATTAGTTCCAAAGTGTCCCCCCCCCCCCTCCCCTGTAGACATCAAGCACTGTCCACTGATCACCAAGCCAAAGATCCACATTCTTTTACAGGTGCGACCCTCCTTTTCCCGTTCTCTCTCTCTCTCTCTCTTTCTTCTTGTGACTGTAACTGTAACGATTATTGTTACTGACTGTAACTGTAACTGTAACTGTAACTGTAACTGTTAGTGTGGTCTTCCCCATTTATGCCACGCAAGACCTGTCCCCCCTCCCCCTCCTTGCCGGGGGTGAGCCCGGTTAAAGGGGACGCCGATATCCTCTCCGCGGAACGGCTCCGCGAGGTCCCGGATAGCCAACTCCTGCCCTTTCTCTTCACGGTCTATCGCCATCTTCGCGTGCGGTCCCCGCCCTGTTCTTTCGAGGAGGCCTTTCTCCAGCAGCTCCTTACCCCTCGTCTGCTCCGTAGCGCCATGCCGGACGTGGTACAGATGGTCGGCTGCGTGTGTTGCGATGTCATCCGGCTTAGCAGGGACCCCCGTAATACCCTTCAGACAACCAAAGCGAGGGATCCTGAGGGGAGTGGGAAAGATGGAGGGTGGCCTTTTTCAGGATCGGCTTGTTTGGGTGTCTTGGAGTGCCTTGCGCGGCCTTTTCAGGAGGTAGTAAACGCCAGCGACTCCCCCGGGGATCGCGGCGCTCTTCGCCGATGCGAATCCCTCATCGGACGCGCAAGCGCGTCGAGGGCGCTTGGGTATTTAATCCCCCATCTTCCCCCCGGAGCCGACGTCCAGGGCCTCCTGCAGGTTTTTTTCACTGCTGTGGGCTGTGCGAACGGCGGGAACGCAGAAAAGGAAAAAGGAAAAGAAGGATTGGCAATCAGCGCGATCAGCGTGCGGGAGATGGCGACTATACTGCGGGACATTACCACTGCTACAGGGGTCCTTACGGAGGCACAGCTGCGGCCGCTCGCGCGCGAGATCGCCTTCAGCTCGCCATGGCTCCGCACCTCCTCGGGCTCTACGGATCCCATAAACAGTGAAAGAAAGATAAACGATGGGGATAAAAATGAAAGGGGGATTGGGAATGGGATTCGCACCATCGTGGGTGGGGGCTCGCGCCCGCCGGCCGCTCGGATCGCCGCAGAGCTGTTGCTCGATCAGGTGCACCTCGCACAGCCGGCCATCGAAAGCCTCGCGATGGTGTACGTGGAGAAGGGCGTGAGCGAGCTCCTCGCGGCGGAGGTCGGCGGCGAGGGTCAGGAACCACTAACCTCCGCCGCGCTCGCAGGGGGAGGAGGGAGTTCGGCTAAATTGGAGGCCAAACGTCGCGCCTTGCGCGAGATCGCGCGAGCCCTCGAGGTCCTCGTTTCAATGGTCGAGCTCCATGTCGACCTCGTCCGCCAGCTCCTGCCCACGTTGGTGCCATACCTTCAACATGAACGAGTGGAGCTGCGGTTGATCGCCCTGCGCGGCTTCGGCGCGGCTTTTATGGCGAACCCTGGCGCTTTTCCCGCCTATCGGGCAGCTTTTTCGGCGTTTTTAACGCGGCTCGCGGACGCGAAGCCCACGGTTCGGATGGAGATGCTGACGTGGGCGGCGCGGCTCATGCGGGGGGAGGCGTTTCGCTCTGAGATGTGGGCGGTCATCGCGCCGGGGCTGCGCGCCCGCCTGACTGACGCCCACGCAATGGTGCGAAAGCAGGGCGTGCACACCCTCGCCGAGATCGCGCTCGCGGCGCCGGATCTCTTCCGTGAGGACGACCTCGACGACGACAAACGCATCACTAAATCAGAAATCCATGGAAAAGGAGAGGAAGGGGAGACGGGGTCGTCTTTTCTCGCAAATACGCTCGGGATGCGGGCGGTAGATAAGAATGCACGGGTCTGCGAGGCCGCCGTCGAGCGGCTCTGCGAATTATACCGACGTCAGCCCAGGCGATGGATCCCACGCGCGATTTTAAACGCCGCCGTCCACGCCGAGGACGGCCTACGGATGGTAGAAATCCACTTTGAAAAGCTTCTTCCGCCTTCATTACAGCAGTGTACGGGCGATAATCACAAGAAAAATAGTGCTGAGGAGAACCAGCGCCCGAAGCTTGCGGTCTTTGATTTCGAAAAGGAGGAGCTTCAGGTGGAGCATTCATACGTGAGTGCATTTATTCAACTCCTGCAGAACATCCCTGCCAGGCAGTTTCCGATCCTTCTTTCGATGGTTAAGGCAAAGCAATCGCTTCGGCGGACGATCACGCGGTTATTCGAGTTCCGCACAGAGATCCGCCATCTCTCTGACCCGCAATCCGCGGAAGGGCAATCGATTATTAATGGAATCCACAGAATTTTGAATTTTCTGAAATATTCGACTTCTGGAGGGGCAAACAGTAACTCCTGGGAGGCAATCTTTCGCGCGAAAGACGAACAAATCTCGCGTGCCTTTATGCAGCTCTGCGCAGCAGCTAATCTAAACTGGGGAGAGGAGCGGCATAGATTTTTGCAGGTCATGAAGGGACGTGTGGAAGGGGAAGTTTTCAGCTTTTTGAAGGACACCTTAGTTCAGCAGATCGCGCTGCCACTCAGCTTTCAACATCTGGAGAAACTGCTCGCGAAGCTGCGGGTTTTTTTCCCACACCCAACGTCAGAAACGGAAAAAGGGACGGGTGCGATTTCGAGTCAATTGCGCGCGGTCCTCACCTCTTCTTACGGGACGACGAACAATTTTACTGGGGGGAATAGCGAGATTATTGGCATGCTCCGCGCGTTGTCAATTTTTTTGGTCGCCTCGCCTTCTTTTTCGCCGTCTATTGTAAGTAGCTTGCAGGAGATGCTGGAAAACATCGTCACTGTGGCAGCTTTTACTCCTTCCACAAAGTTGAAGCCTCGAGGGGGGAAGCCCACTACGGGCAAGATCCCTTTTACAAGGGGCGGCGCTCAGATTTTCGGCGAGATCACGTTGTTAGTCTTGCAGACTCTGCAAGAATGTGCGGCCTATGAAAGCGGCTTGGAAGGCTTTTTCTCCCCGAAAGATCCTTCCACTTCAACCCCGTCTCTTTCGTCTTCGCAGGGTGGAGTACGGCCTCCACCGCGGTCTGGATTCCAATCCCTGACGGAGATGGGCAAACGGAGTCTTCTGGACTCCCTCATTACGTTATCTACAGCGGTGATGCCGGCACTTCTGCAGGGTACAATCCCATCCGCGTCTTGTTCCGAGGCAACTAATCCTCCTATTAATAATAATGCTGCTTTGCTCAAACTTGCGGGCCAGATTAGTAAACACGCCGCGCGGGCCCTGGTGGGGCTCGTCGGCGGCCTCGGCCTTGGCCAGGCATCCCAGCTGGGTGAGATTGTTGACCGTCTTCGTCAGAATCTCCGCGGTGGGGGTTCCGCTGGGAATGAAATTATTTCCCTCCTTCCAGGGCTGAGCGTGGTGCGAGTTTTCGCGCCGAACAGCGCCACGCGCGCGCTCGTGCAAGAAGACTCTCTCCACGAATTAATTACTGCCAAACTCATGGCGGCGGTTGAGGATGTTTCCTCACAGGCCGAGAAAAACCGTCTACGGCATCGCCATGGGGGAGAGGAGGAGCTGACGGCGGGGTTTTCCCCTTCGGCCGCCGTGGTAGAGGGCTGTGCGCGGGGGCTGAGCGCCATGGCGTTGAGTTATGAAGGGGAACACCGTCCGGTGGCGGTTTCCCGCGCGCTTGACGTGCTCCTACGGGCGTATAAACTAGCCTGCGCGTGCGGGATCCCGACCATCGGTTCCTGTCAGCGCCGGCTTTCCATCTGCAAACAACTCGCGAAG